GGCAGGAAAGTTTGTGAGATTCTTATCTCCAATTAACCACCAGAAAGCTGGAAGGAGGGCTGTGGCTCCATGTGCTAGAGCTCTAGCCTTGAGCAAGAGCTCAGGGACAGCGCCCAGGCGGAGTTCAAGCCCTGTGACTGACCAAAAACAAACAACAAATACGATAGCAAGTCTGGGCTTAAAAATTATATACTAGCTGTTGTCCCTCCAATTACACCATGTTATTTCTGGGATGGGGAACTTGCTACCTCCCAGTCTATTGTAGACTGACAAAAACATTTCTTTTTTATTTTTGCCAGTCCTGGGGCTTGAACTCAGAGCCTGGGCACTGTCCCTGAACCTCTTTTACTCAAGGCTAGCCCTCTACCACTTGAGCCACAGCGCCACTTCCAGCTTTTTCTGTGTATGTGGTACAGAGGAATCGAACCCAGGGCTTCATGCATGCTAGAAAAACACTACCACTGAGCCACATTCCCAGCCTGACAAGAGCATTTCTTTTTCTTTTGGTCAGTCATGGGGCCTGAACTCTGGGCCTAGGCGCAGTCCCTCAGCTCTTCAGCTCAAGGCAAGCGCTCTTCCACTTGAGCCACTTCGCCACTTCCTGTTTTCTGAGTGGTTTATTGGAGGTAAGAGTCTCACAGACTTTCCTGCCTGGGCTGGCTCTGAACTGCGATCCTCAGATTGCAGCCTCCAGAGTAGTTAGGATGACAGGCCTGAGCCACCGACGCCCGGCTTGACAAGAACATTTCTAAGTGAAGAGAAAGCAGTCTGTGACGACCTTGGGACCCTCCTGCCTGGTGCTGCAGTCGCCCCTCCGCACATGGGGCCAAGGCAGGGAGGCAGAGCGCCTCCTCCCCTTGGGCTGCGTGGTAGTATTCAGTAACAAGAGGTTTGACTGTGAGCACAGCCCAGAATGTGAGCCCAGCTCCTGCAGTTCATGTTCCTGGGCGGTAACTCGGCACCTGCCCCATTTGTGCACCCAGCCATAACCCAGTGCCGCCGGGCTTGCTCCTAGGTTCGTTCCTGGGGACACGAGACTGCTGACCTCCACCCTCGCCCCTCCTCCTGCCCATGGTAAAACTCTGTCATCTCAACGCCCCAGCCACTCTTACTCCAATGTTACAGGTTAGAACATGAAGACCGGGGTGGGGGGGTTAAATAACACGTCTCAAGTCCACAGACCACTGATCTGGGTCTGGCCTGCTCGGCGCCTCATGGTCCTGCGTCGGCCCTGCCTCTGTGCAGCTGGAGCTGCCTGGGGGTGGGGGTGGGGCTAGCTGTCTCCCCTCCAGGCCAGCTCCCTTTGGGATCTTGCTCACAGTTCCTCTCCCCTGACACCCCTATCCTACTCCAGACTGGACAGTTCGCTGTCTGTGGCCCTGAGCACCTCCTTGGATCCCTGGATCTCTTATCATTACAGCAAATGACACTTTAGGTCAGGGGTTCCCAGACTTTGCAGACAAGAGCTGCAAGGGGAGGGGGTGCTGGGTGCATTGGCTCAAGCCTGTTATCCTAGTTAGTTGGAAGGCAGAGATAGGGAATAAAAGCTGGCGACCAATGGCTAGGCTCAGTCATACCTGCCCATCC